GGTGATGCTGGACTTAGTTATTAGGAAAATTCTATGTAGTTATGTATATAGTTGCAAGAATCTTAATAAAGTACTAGTGTGGCTGCTTAAGAACAAAAAAAAAAAAAAAAAAAAAAAAAAAAAAATTTTTATTATATAAAATTATTACAACTGATGCTAAAATTGATTAATGTTGAAATTTGATTCAATTTTTATATAAAATTTTTTAAAAATTAATAATTAAAAAGTATGTGGATTTTAGCAATGCAACATAAAATAATATATAAAATAATGGTTTAAAACAGTCGTTATATTACATCAAAAAAAAAAATAGTAACTATAATAAGGTTAGACTATACTAATATATATAGTCGAACCTCTCTACAGTAATGCCCTTAGTTCAAAAAAATTCTGTGCTTATAAGAAATTGTGCCTGTATAGAAGTCAAATTTTTTGGGTTATGTTTCTTATAAAGGGTATGACTCTATGAAGAATGACCGTGTATATAAAGGGCAGACTGTACTAAGTACGTAAGTAGTATATTTTTTAAAAAATAGTTGGTATACTATATTTTAAAAACTAGCTAAAAACATAAAATGCATAATTAATATTTAATACGTACTGTATTTTAAATAAAAAATATTTTATATTTTTAGAAATTTAATTGCTTTAATTTCTAATTCTAACTTTATTTTAACTTGTAACATCGCTCTAGTTTTATTAATAGTATTAAATATTATTGGTAAGCTTTGATGTTATTCTACGTATAATAAAGTTCTTAATACTATTTCCTTATACCAAAATTGTTCGGACTTTCGCTTAACCGTTTCGTGGTAACATTGCCTATATAACTATACCATTACCAGTATAAAAACATGTCTCATGTTTACATCATTATATAACAAAAGATTAAATTAGATAATGTTTCGAATACGTAATCGTAATAAAAACATCGAAGTTTAAAAAATTTTTTTTTGTAAATTAGTCACCTGTTTATGGAAATAGCACAATTACAAAAAATTTTGAGTACTATATATAATGCAATGAATTTCTATTACATATCGATATACTTTGAAGGGATTTACCGTTTTGTTATAGAGAAAAAAAAATCCACGTTTTTTATTTCTCTAAATTTAGGTGGTTCATAATTAAACTTTTATAATGCTGGTCAACATTACCGTTGAATTTGTATCAGTATCTATTCTTTTTATTTAATCAAAAATATTTTTGGACAATTAATATATTTTTTATTTTTCATTTTGAGGGTGTTATTGCCAACAGAATTATGGAAGGCAGTACAATTCATACGGCACCGAATACCTCCGAAGAGAGTTTAAAGATTGCTGGTTCTGCTTCTTCTTTATTTCGCGATTCTATACAGAGTCCCTTTGATTCTTTATTTCCACCAGCAAATGACTCCAACCCTACAGCTGATTTAAATAGAACAGAATCAATAGAATCACATCTCTCACCTCAAACCAACGAAACTGCAAACTCTTACTCTGGAAGTACTGAAATAACAGCAGATCCCAAAACCAACGTTACACAGTATTACGACTATACGGAACATGCCTATGATGGCAGCGGTCAGGTTTATTCACAATATTATTACCCCCAACAATATCATTATGATCCGGAAGAAGAACAAGAAGTCAATATAGTTCACCGAAATAACAATGATATATTTGAATATCAACCACAAGATTTAGAAGGTCCCCAAAAGACAGAATTATCTCAAGTAGACCAACCTACAACCCAAATAGCAGATAAGTCACAAATTTCGTCGGAGTTAGTTGTTTCTAGAGAGTCAGAAGCAATTGCTGACTTAACCAACAAAGATACAAATAAAGATACAGGTAAATTGGATGATTTGGATGATTTAGTTTTGGGACATACAACATCTGGGACTTCTGAAGCATATGTATCCTCAACCACACATGAAGAATCTGCTGTTAAGCCAGAAACCAACCAAGCTATGAATGATCCATCCTTGAATTATAATTATTGTTTTACTGAAGATTATTCATATGGCTACGAATATGGAAAATGGGACACAAACGATTCAATCAACCAATATCAAACTTATGATACTTCTCAAGTTTCAGCTGGCATTGAGGATGTAAATAATCAGCATACTCAATATCCTGCGGTTGATACCCAACAATATCAAGCTTATCAAGTTGCGGCTGGCATTGAGGATGTAAATAACCAGCATACTCAATATCCTGCGGTTGATACCCAACAATATCAAACTTATGATACTTCTCAAGTTTCAGCTGCCATTGAGGATGTAAATAACCAACATACTCAATATCCTGCGGTTGATACCCAACAATATCAAACTTATGATACTTCTCAAGTTTCAGCTGCCATTGAGGATGTAAATAACCAGCATACTCAATATCCTGCGGTTGATACCCAACAATATCAAGCTTATGATACTTTTCAAGTTTCAGCTGCCATTGAGGATGTAAATAATCAGCATACTCAATATCCTGTGGTTGATACCCAACAATATCAAACTTATCAAGTTGCAGCTGGCATTGAGGATATAAATAACCAGAATACACAATATCCTGTGGTTGATACCCAACAATATCAAACTTATGATAGTCAATCGACAATTGATGGAATATCTGGAATTCACCAATCTACCTATCAGTATCCAAACTATGATTCAAACCAATCTACGGTTGTTAATACGCCTCCACCACAATCTTATTCACCATTTTCGGCGAAAGTCGTTCACTTTGTATCGTGTTTATATCCACAATGTACGGGTGAAAATAAATCAACCGCCAAATTTTGTTCTGAGTGCGGACGAGCCATTAATGAGGTATCGTATTTCATAAGTCCTGCTATAATCCTTTTAATATATCTAGTAATATTTTCTTAACCATCATGATGTGAATGCTTACATTAGTCATTCATCGCCATCGCTTTAACGTCATACTCTCACTTTAATTCAGTACTCACAAGTTTTCTTTCAACTATCATCTGTTTATTAGTCCTCGCCTACAGTTGATACGTCGAACATGTATAAAAACTCTGTAATTCAACAACAGTATGATACTTATAGTACGAACATTGCAAATGATCCTTTAGGAAGGTCTAAAGGGTGCCCTATTGTTTCCTTTGGTTTTGGGGGCAAAGTGTTCACCATGTTCCCTCGTACTGTCCAACGTTTTACTAGTACGGATCAAAGTACACCAATTACAAAATATGCACCAGGTTCTTTTATAATTCGTACTTTAAAGGATATAATCCCATTATCGGATATTGAAGATTTCCCTGGCCCTCTTCTTTTGGATAATAATCGAGGAGGCGTGAAAGCAAAAAGAAAACATGTGATAAAATATTTAAGCGACCAAATCAAAGTTGCTGAAGATTTACTGAACTCTTTTGTCGGTGAAGAAGTTGAAAAAAGAAACTTGGAAGCTAATACGATCATTTGGCACTTATTTAAAATCATGTTTGAACATGATGGTGTTCTTGTTGGAAGGTTAGTCATACGGTCATTATTGTAAAATGCCATGGATGCCTTTTTGCATTCACTTTATTATTTTTGGTTATAACACGATTTGCTCATTTTTAACAGTCCAAAAGTTGAAGAAGCTGTACGATGTGTTTTGGTACCATCTGTTACTAAAACGGAGCATTATGAATCAAATTTTACAGTTCCAGCCGATTCTAGCTTTGATTCTACACAAAGCCTGCCAGAATCGCCCACACCACCGTCTTTGACGTACTCCAGTTCTCCAAAAGCTATTGACACATTACAAGAACTATTACTTAAAGGAGACCGTGTTGCTGCCATAAATCATGCAATGAATAACAATTTATGGACTCATGCTCTGATAATTGCGAGTTGTGTCAACAAAGATCAATGGAAAGAGGTTGTAAATAGTTTTATAAACCATGAATTGGGTCCCCAACCGAATGATGCTTTACAATCTAATGGGAGAGAATGTTTAAGGGTTTTATATGCTTTATTTGCTGGAAACGGGCAGAACTCTGGTATTTTGGAATATGAACTCTTCCTTATGATTATTCAATATTTCTGTTTTTGATATTATTTTCTAATTCATTTAAATACTATTTTTTTTTTTAGTCAACCAATTTCTTCCTTATTCAACATTGCTCAATCGTGTAACTCAGCCTGCAAATACAACATTCCCACCCAATCCTTTAGCAACAAATATTGCACAATTAAATCCTTCAGCCAGCATGCAGTATAATCCTGTACCCATAAACACTTTATATTCTTCTGCTACATGCGATGCTCCAATTGAGAGTTTGGAGAAATGGCGTGAAACTTTGGCTATTATTTTAGCAAATAGATCACCAGGTGATAATCAAGCAATATCGGCCTTAGGAGACATGCTAAAAGAGTTTGGGAGGATTAATGCTGCTCATGTATGGTATGTATTATATGTCTTAATATTATTTTGTAGAATATTTCAAGGAATCATTATAACAAACTAAATGTTGAATTATAAGCTACATGTTGTCTCCTCAATCTTCCACCCAATCTGGAATTGATGATATTAATTCCCGTTTCACACTCGTGGGCAATGACTGTATTAATAATCAGTCCACTCGCTTTTTTGGTGATTGGCAAGCGCTGCGTCTCACAGAAATTTATGAGTTTGGACTTTCATTGAACAATAATGATGGCTTACCATTTTTACAAGCTTACAAGTTACTATATGCGTGGTGGTTGGTGGATTGTGGTTATTTAAATGAAGCTAGAAGGCAAGAAAATATTCCAATTAATTAATCTTTATGATTTCATTTGTTGCTATCCTAATTAAAAAAACATACATATGTTTAGATATTGTGAATCTATTGCAAATATAGTAAAGGTATATACAAAAGGCTCTCCGTATTTCCATGGCTGTTTCTTGCAAAACTTAAAAGACCTAACTCAAAGGCTACTTGAACATGGTGGTAGTAGTTCAGGGTAAGCTTAATACGCTTTAGCGATAAATAACATCATAGTTCACCGACCATATCTTTAAAAATTTTCATGTTTAAATAGAAATAATGAGTCATCCTCCTGGCTATTCGCGAAAAAAATGCCTAAAGCAGCTCTTGATTCTTTATGGGATTCCTTGGAAGTTAAATTCAATAAGTTCGTTGCAGGAGATGCTGTGGATGAAACCGGACAGAAACCGTCTTCAATATCTCAAGAGACTGTTGGACCTTTCTCCCACTTTAGTGCCATTACTCAGCAGGCTTCAGATGTCCCATCTCGTAGTGTATCAGCAGCTGAGTTTCGGTCGATTCCTGATTCAAGTCATGATGCGCGACGTTCAACTACACCCAATGCAAGATTACAAAAACAAATAAATGGATATCAACGAAGATCATCAACGCCCGGTGTTGGTGTACAAACTTCTGAATACACGAATAGTGGACATAATTATAATGGATATAGTCCCTCAGCTTCCGATGGACAGACCTCAATGTCACCCGTACCTGAAGATAAATCATCTTATATAACATCGCCCGTAGATAATAGCGCTAGTCATTTCGGAACCTTTGATGTACAGGGTACTTATACTGGTTATAATTCTTATAATATGTATCAACAATCGCAGCAGAATGACAATGGTTTACAATCAAGTTCTGAAAACGGACATTCATATGGGTCTGTTCCGTATGGTCAACAGTCAACACAAGGTGATTATAATTATTCATCATTGTCGAACAATTCAGGCATTGACGCAAATAAGCAACAAAGTATTTATCCATATTACCACCCAGTTGGGAATTCTGATACGTCTTATACAAATGATTCTGCATGGTGGAATAATCCCAGTCCTTATACCAACGACAATTATTCAAATCAAAAACAAATTACAAATAAAAACAATGAGGGAGGGGAATTTATTTCACCCATGGACAATAGTAATCCGTTACTCTCCCCAACTTCAGCACCAGACAATACTAGAGTAGATCGTAATAGTGAATGGGATAATATAGAAGATGATTTAGGGTTAGGAAATAATGCTTTTAATGCCAAAAACAAAGAGAAGCAAGCGGATGATAACTATGAATCGACAGAGAATGTTTCTCAGGAGTCGGAACTGCCAAAAGAGGAGAAAAAAGGTATAGATTTATGATTTTATCTAACGACATATAATTACATTTTAGTCCTCAGTACACTGAACATATCGTTTAATTGTGACTTACATTGTTAGATGAGAAGACGGGATGGTTTGGGAGGTGGTTTGGTGGAAAGAAAGAAGGTGGTGGTAAAGTTGCTAATTTGGGCGAAGAAAGTTCGTTTTATTTCGATCCGGTTCAAAAAAGATGGGTCAACAAAAAGGTAAAGTTGTAATTCTGAGTTACAAATGATTACATGAAATTACTATCCGATATTATATTTTTCACTCATATATATGCTATTACTACATGTAGGGTGGCACGGATACGCCTACAACTTCAACACCCCCTCCCCCGCAACCAACGCGCGCTAAAACCACATCACCTACACCATCTGCGCCAATGATGAATTCAAATTTAAATATGCAGTCAATGCCACCACCAAGTACCAATAGACAATCGTTACCGCCTCTAAATACACCAGGCGGAAATGTTTCAACACCACCAGTTAAACAGAGAAGTGTTTCCAGTGCTAGTACGCGACGCCCTATTCGGTCGAGATATGTGGATATTATGAATCAGCCACCCCCATCCCCGAAATAAGGTTGATATATATCTTTGTATTTTGAAAATTTTATTTAGAGTTCATTAATTTTACTATATATATCATAATGTAGTTTTGGTTTATTTGATTATTTTTATTCGATTCATTTCAAAATACTTCATGTTAGGTATTTTTAATTTTATTACGACTTTTTTATAAGTTTCTTTATTAGATAACATTGTATATACTCGGTAAAAGACAGAAATTGAATAAATCTTATTTTTGTATAAAAGTTTCTATTTCAGGTAAATATAAATCGTTTTAAATTAGTATAATTATGATCATAAAAAACTTTCAGACTTTATATATTATCTAAATCCGAAAAGATTGTAATATACTACATAAAAATAAAATTAATAAATGTTATATATAGTCCTGCCAATAATAATTAATAAATTTTGTATGTTATTCCAATCCAAACAAATGGTAAGCCAATTCTACAAATGCAAAAATTACCTAAAAAAATAATAAATATTTAGCATTTGAATAATCGATTAATAAGAGTGAAAATAGGTTAACTTACAGGTTGCCATACTATCAAATAACGGACGCCATCTAGTAGGCTTAAGTATAGTTGCTGTTGTGTGTCCCATCTATAAGTTTGTTAATGATTTTGACCTTAAAAAATTATTGTAAATATACCAATTTAATGTAATAAAAATTTTATACTAACGGATTGGTCTTGAATTCTTTCATATCAACTTTTTCTTTACTATGTAAAGAAATAGCCAAATGAGATTAATAATTAAAAATAGAGTTAAATGAAAATAAATTTGCATTCACACACCAGTATGGACAAATATCTTTTTTGCCTATTAAACACCACCCACGTATACAGTCATCATGAAATACATGTCGGCATGCCAGCTGAAAAACATTCTGTTGTTCCCCTACTTCATCAGTTCCATTTGCAGCTACACCACATATCGCACATATATTTGCTCTAAGGTGTTTTCGTGGAAATCCATCTTTGTTATAATATCCAAGAGTAGATGCCATTCTGTCCGTACATATTTCAACAAAATCTCTATTTAAAACCCTAAATGATCAAAGAGATTTATCAAATTAAAATTGATATTGCTTTTAACTATAGTGTAGAATTACGAAAAAAAAGTACCCAAAATATAATCCGTAGCATAAAAGTAAGACCCCAAGTTCTATAACTTCAGTGCCCGTATAAAATAACTGAATTATTCCGAAAAATGTGAACATAATTATTGAGTATCCGGTGATTCCCACAGCATATGATACTTTGTAAACAAAAGAAAACCATTTGTAAACTAATCTAAGAATAAAAAACATGATAATTTCAACATGTGATTCAAAATGTAGATGTTAGTGCGAATAGTGTGCATTTACCTTGGTGTCTTGTGATTCAGAGGCTTTCTAGATGCCAAATATAAAACTTTGTAGAAATTAATTTATTTGATCATTAATGAGGATCAGAATGATGTACAGTTGTGTATAAATATATTCACTTACTATATGAATTGATCAATGAATATAAAACCCAGATCGTCATAAATCGCCAAAAATGAGCTTGGATTCCAAAAATATACATTGGTATCAACCTTTAAATCAAGCATAATAGAGCAAAATAAGAGAAAGATCGACAGAATATTAGTACCGAAATTGTGCATACCATAAGCCAACCAACGTAACCAGCTGGAAAGAGCGATAATGACGTTGTTTCCAATAAAGAATCACTAATTGAAAGCCTAATAGAGCACCTAGAAGAATTAGAGCCATTGTTCCATGTTGCGAATTGCGACCAACGTATGGTTCTTCAAATTCGGTGCCTGGATCTACTCCTGATTCGTTGCTGTGACTACGAAATTGAATTGAGCCAAGCTTATTATGTTTGATTTTATGATCAGATACAGAACGGGTGGGGTTTGCAAATCAAACCTCTCATTTAAAGCAGAATTATCTCTTATTTGAGCCGTAGTAGCCAGAATCTCATTAATTTCCGACATCTTGGTGTTAAATCGCTATAATTAATGAACTTATTTTGGTTTTTGCAAAAATCGATGACAAAAAAGAAAAAAGAAAAGAATGTTTATACGTATTTACATTTAGCCATGCTCTATCTGATATTCATCCAATTGTGATTGGATAAATCCATTTTAAATATTTATACATTTCTGATTGGATTGATAGAAAAAAAAACACAATGGCTTTTCTCGGCTTTCGTAGGTTTCCTACACCGATCATAAAACCCATGTGGCCTTTTATGGCCAGCGCATCTATCGCACTTTATCTTCTTCACAAAATTGAAACAGCGGGACAGTCAGGTATAAGTCAACCTTTTGTGTAAACTTTCTATTCTTACCACAAACTATACGTTGAATATTTCTGTCTACACTTTGATAGTTCCTCCATATGATGTCGATCCTCGCAATCCACGGGGTATGTATAGAACATAGCAATAGAAACAATTATTCGATTTAACTAACACATGTTTTATATTAGCTTTGCACAATAAAAAATTAAAAGAACACTCCGGACATTGAGCTTAAGATAGTTGACATTGTCCAGTGCAAGAAGATTTGCATCTCAAAAAAGGCGCTAATAAAATTTTTTATTCAAATCGTATGAGTACATATTCGAAAATATGGAAATATAAACTTTAGATCACAATTATTGATCACAATTATGCATTATTATCAGAATAACTTGAGAAAATTGGTTTTTTAAAGTGCATTTAGAATTGTATCTCTGGCTGACAGAATGTTTGTATGCGGTCTTGCAGCTTCACCCTTACAGCAGCCCAAACACATTCAACTAGCTGAAGTTCTCAGTGGTAAAATTGAATAATAAAAAAACTCTAAGCTCGCTCGTTTCGCTGATTCAATATAGGAATGGTGCACTTGATATCGAAATACTTTTGATCTGCCGTTTATACTAGCTCGTCCACATCCATGTAAATGTTTACTGGCCTATTGCTTTTCATAAGGTGTTTTACAGAGTCAAGAAAGGGTTTTTAAATATTTTACTTGGATTATCTACCTGATTGATAATGATATTAACATCCTTATCAACGTCAGAAGTGTTATTTATTTTTAGTATTATTTCTTTTTAATTATTGATTCGTCCTAAATTATATAAACGAGTTACAGGAACGTAGTAATGTAAATGAGTGTTGCTAAAAGAAAACCCGAAAATTTAAATATGACTTATATTTAAACTTTCGAGTTTTCTTTTAGCGACGCTCAAATTACGAAGCGTATGGTTAACGGACAACTAGTGTGCAAACTCTGGATTATGATTGGATGATTGTTAGATATATATAAAATGTAGTACGTGCATGTATAAAATTGTACAAAAACCATATGTATTAACTGAATATGGTATCAATTGTAACAGTCTTAAGCTAATTTTCGTTAGCATACGTAAAATGTTTTATTTTATTCATTCCATACTCTTGGAAAACGGTTCACTTTTTCCGAGTTTTTATATTGTCATCCAATTTTCGGAATATTTATTGATTCAAAATTTTTAGCCATTTCTCTTGTAAGAACAACAGCAGAGGCCGTTAATGTTATACAACTAATCCCGACACCTGATGTGCAACACTAACGGAATGGTATGGAATTGTGGTGTCGAGAAAAATTTTCTTAATCGGTTAACCGAACCGAAATATTTTATGCCAACCGATTCAACCGGTTAAGACTACTTCGCACCTTACCTTCATTTATTTTCCTTTCACGGAATTCTTGCTCATTCCTGATCCTTCCACCCGGTTACCCATTCTCAACTGGTTGTACGGGTCAACCGATTAAGAATTCACTCATCCGGTTACACGAAATTTATTCGGCTCGGGTAGGGTAACCGATTATAACCCAACCTGTTCAAATCACTAATTGTATAACATCAACGGTCTCTTCTGTATGTAAATTTATCAACTTACCGGTTTCAAATATAATTATATATTCATTGTCTGCTGTATAGAGATTAGGCCCGGATAGGAGTTACCTATGTGACCTTACAGAAGGACATTTGTATAATTGGTTGATACGTATAAATCAATTGCTTAGATAACTTATTTATATAGTTTAAAGTACTTTTTGAAAGCATAATATTTTATTATGATTTTAAATTTTAAGATAAATATAGAGCTAATTTATTGGTCATCAGCAGTGACATGTCAAAGGATCAGGTGTAGAGTTCTGCAACCCGGGCTCATGTGCCTAACAAAAATCTTGGCACTGGCATGGCATAAAAATTTTGACATTAACTTGCCAGGTGCCTTTTAAATATAAGCATTAAAATGCTAGGCACAAGTTTAAACATTTTGTGCCTATAGGCATATAAGGCATGGCATAAATTAATCTGGGATATTTATATTTAAGACATAAAATGCATGGACACAAAATGCCTAATATATACATGTTATAGCATAAGCATAACACAAGTATGTTACAAATATGGCACAAGTATAACACAGATATGGTACAGACATAGCATAGGGCATGGCATAAACATTGCACAAATGGCATAAGTATGACACAAATATGGCACAAGTATGACACAGACATGGCACAAACATGGCACAAGTATGGCACAGACATGGCACAAGTATGGCACAGACATGACACAAGTATGGCACAGATATGGAACAAGTATAGCACAGACTTGGCACAGACATGGCACAGATATGGCACAGATATAGCACATGTTCAGATTTAGAGATGCAAACATTTTTGTGACAGTGCTACCTCAATTACATTACAACTGTATTATAGAGACCTGCACAGACCTCATAAAATAATTTTTTTGCTGGCCCGCATTTTATTATATTCTTAGAATTCCTGGCCCACAATTTTACTGTTTTAAAATTTTTTCAATTTCGGCCTGACTCGTGCAGGCCTCTACTGTATTAATATCATTATAACCTGTTGTAGTACACTGTATATATTTTTATGAGTTAAACAATCCTTGAATGTGTATCAGGTTTGTGGCACAGATTTTCTGAACTATGAATTAGATGTCAAGATCAGACGTAATGTATCACAATTAAGAAAATTCAAAAAAATGTCCATCTTGTCAAAAATTGCTTGCTTCTCAAAATCAGCATAAGAAATTGCCTTTGATGCTCTAATAAAAAGTTTTTGTTGGGCAATATTACTATGCAGTTATTCTCTTTAATTCCTAACCTAACCCTAATATAACAAACTTTAAAGGATTTTTGCTGCATTACAAACCTGGCATACATTAGTTTAAAGAAAACTTATAAAATAGAAGAAAATAGAAAAATGATATTTCTGGCATCACTTCATTTTTAGTTATTAATTCAAACATCAAATATTATGCCAACATTACGAACTGTAGTAGGTTAATTCAACAATCAGTATAATGAACAAAAATAAAATCCTTTGAATATTTTTTTTTATGATTTTAGCCGCAACTGTTCAATCAAAAGTGCTGTGAAAATATGAGTTCACCAATAAATATTATGAAGAAAAAGAGAATTCAACTTTTTGAGTTACCTTCATTCAGTAAAGATAAAATTAAGTTAAAAAATAAGTATCATTTAAGTAAGAATATGTTGAATAAATAGCACAGTTAAAGAAACGACATACTGTTTGCTAAAGTAATCATAATATACTAATGGAATATTTATGTGGAATTTGTTATTTTAATTTTATTTAATTATAAATTAAGGTTTTTTAATTATAAATCATTAACTAATAATTTAAATAAACAAAATATTTTATTAATATTAGAAAAAAATAAAATAGAGACCTGTCTCCATGGTGACCCTACATATAGCAGCCAATCATATTTAGGGTTAGGAAATTTTCTTTTGTGCTTTTGTATTATAAAAGTTGGAAATTTTATAGAAAATTTTTATTGGGTAATAATAAGCAACATATTAGATAGTCACATGCTCGATTTGGATTGGCCATTCATATAGGGTCGCCATGGCGACCCGTCGCCATAAAATAACACCCTTAATAATAAATATATTTATGAAATTGAATTGCTTTATAATAATAATAATGCTTGAAACTAATTTAAAAATAATTGATGCAAACTAAATTAATAAATTAAAAGGTAAATTTACTGCAAATTTGGTAGCTTATTTAAAATAATCGATTAATAAATGTTTTTTATACTTATGAGTTATATTAATGTAAAATAAAATAAATGAAATGCAAAGTATAGCAAGAATAAATATCTATATTATGTTTTAATATGCAAATTAATAAATGATATTTTACTTACATGCTCGCCTTGGCTTTTAATTATGATGATATTAGTAAATTTATTTTATTTTTCACCTATTTATAATAAATTAATCAACATTTATAAGGTTGCTAGCAAGTTATTAGAAATAATAGTAAATGTTGGCATATAAACTTATGTTTAGGAATGCCAAAAGATAACAAGAACAAATGTATTTTGTACATTATTTGCCATAAAGCAAGAACAAAAGATGTCAAATTTTAATAGAATGCTGAGGGCTATAAGGCCCTACATACAGTACATTAAAAAATATGTATATTTTTAATCTACTATTAGCAAGAAAAAAATTCAAGGGGTGTGGCGACCTAGTGAAGTGGTCAGGTTGTCAACCCGCCAAGTGGTAGGTTGGGTGTTCAAATCCCATCGATGGCAAAAATTTGGATAATCACCTATGTAATATTCATATTACA